ACCAGTTTCTGTTGACTGTCTGATCAGTTCCCTCCAGCTCTAATGATCATATGTGATGAACTTTATGGTTGCATGTCTAAGACCTGTCCTGTCAGTCAAATTCTGTATTCAGGTCTTTCTTGGTCTGCCTTTTCTCCTCTACTGAGCCCTGTAGTATTGTTCCTGTGAGGCTGTTAGATCCGATTACATGTCCGTACAATTGCACTTTTTGCTGTAATTAAAAGAGGTTCATAGTTGCCGATGTGCTGGGTAATTGTACAACGAACTTTTTCAATTGTAATGTGGTCTCTGTATATGTCACCATTTAAAAAAAAAAAAAAAACTTAAAACCACTTTATGCAATCCGCTGACATTTACGCCTGGCTACCACAATCACACCCCTTGCGATCATAACTCTGAGCGCTCGTCCGTCATGCAAAAATTGCAATTTTTAAACTGAATTTGGTTCATTCATTTCTATATTAGTTTAAGGGAAACAACGCTGCAGCGCTGTTAGTAAAAAATTTTTTTAATGTTCGCCATGTAAAATTCTCAAAGGGACCGTGGTGGTAGTCATTTTTACGTCTCTGTTGCATATGATTGTCGTGATTTAATTTGGCAGGGGGAAGGTGAAGGTATAGATATCACTGAACAGTTTGAAGACTGGCTTTGATAAAAATAACTAAATGCCATAAAAAAAAAAAATGAAATTTGACAGTGAAACAAAGGCAAGTTGCTGCAAAGTCAAGTCCAACTAAGACTCCACTGGCAGTTGCACATTCGGTAGAAAACACTTGTGCCGCAGTTTCTGATATCAATGCTTCTAGTGAAAGTATTCATTCGAAGCCTGTAGATTTTGAAGATATTGTATATGAGAAATTATTGCCGCTTCTGCTCGAAATCATCATCGTCATCTTATGAGTCCGGAGAAGATTTGCCATTTCCTATTCTGGTTGATGACTAGCACTGTGGTTTGCTGAAGTACCCCCATTTTCAGAAGAAGGTACACAGTGTGTGTAGAATAAGATAAATGTTAGAATCCAGAAATAAAAGGGGCTGCAAAGGGACCATGACAAGTTAGGGATCTGTGATAAATGGGAGTGGCATACACACACACATATATGTATATACAGTGAAACCTCGCCTAACGAGCACCTCTCATAACGAGTAATTCGCATAACGAGCAAAACAAATTGTAAAAGAATGACTTGCTTAGCGAGCGACGTTTCGCATAACGAGTTGCAAGGAAAGGGAAAGTCCCGGATTATACGCATATTACATCAGTCTGTGTTTAGCAATCGTTCCAGCAGAACCGTGTCACTTGTGATCACATTTTCTCAAACTTGTGTTATATTGTGATATATGTGCATGAATCCTTCAGGCCTACAACATGACCTCCCTGAAGAATTTAGGTTTATCAAGATTCAGTTTCTGCCTCCCAACACCACTCCGTTACTCCAGCCCATGGATCAGCAAGTTATTTCTAACTGTAAGAAGCTCTACACTAAAGCACTCTTCGAGCATTGTTTTCAGGTGACTGAAGGGACCAACCTCACTCTCAAAGAGTTTTGGAAAAATCACTTCCACATCGTTGCCTGCCTCAAGATGATCAACAAGGCGGGGGAAGAGGTTACCAAAAGAACCCTAACTTCTGCTTGGAAGAAGCTTTGGCCGGAAAGCGTTGTCGATTTGTGACTTTGAGGGGTTCGAGATAGTACCTGTGGAACCTGTAGTCAACGAGACTGTGTTTTTGATCACTATCATGGGATTGTAGGTGGATAACAGTGATATCAAAGAGCTTGTAGAAGAGCACAGCCAAGAGCTGACCACCCAAGAGCTTATGGAGTTGCATTGTGTTTCACAGCAAGAAGTTTTTATGGAAAGTTTGTCAGTGAAGGAGGAGGAGGTAACAGAAAAGCAACAATCTTCTGGCGAAATTAGAGAAATGCTGAAAGCATGGCAAACTGTTGCATCTTACATTGAGAAGCATCAACCTTATAAGGAAGTGGCTACGCGCGTTGCAAATTTTAAAATGATAATGCTGTGTCTCGTTTTTGCCAAATTTTGAAGCGTCAGCAAAAACAAATGTCTCTCGACTTTTATCTAGTTAACAAAAAAAAAAAAAAATTATTAGCCATGTATCATAATTATTTCGACTTTCTTCTCTGCAGAACGAATTCTCATTCCAGGTGGGTTCGTTCCGCAGTGGAAGAAAAGATGAAGATGATTCACTCTCCTTGACAAAATGTAAATAATTTTCTTTGAATAAATGTTATAATAGCATTTTGTAAGTATTTGTTTCGACATGGAACACATTATCGTATTTTACATTCATTTATATGAGAAAAATTGTTTCGCATAATGAGTATGGTTCTGGAACGAATTATGCTCGTTAAGCGAGGTTCCACTGTATATGTATATATATTTGTTTGCATTAATATTGAATTGCACACCATTTTCTATACTGATAAAACAATACAATTTCATGTTTTATATACCATGAAATTGTCTATATTGTTGACAATTAAAAGCTGATGTTGAACAAAATAAACCCATTTTTGTTTCTTGCAATTAGTTCTGCCTTTCATTTATTGCAAAAATACAAATTACGATAAGTGTAAGCTGAATGGTTGTGAAGTTATGGCATTTTTAGTTAGTCTGTATTATTGTCAGATAAAAGATTTTTCAGTTCCCTTGTCTTTGTACCATAACTACAACAACCTAAATGATGATGATGATGATGTCTACATTATTGTCAGATAAAAGAATGATGTGGAGGCAGCTGCGGTGAAATGCCAAAAAAGGACTCAATGCTCTCAAGATGATGGCAGCAATGTACATGGAACAAAGAATGCTGTTCACAATGTTCCAGCATGTGATCCTGTCGGTGACAGATTATGGACTTGAAATGCTTACCGTATCAAAGAGTCAGCTGATAAAACTTAAACACATACAGAATGAAGCGATGCGGGTAATTCTGGGATGTACAAGAGTATATATGCAGTATATGCTTGCACTGCCTACTATTGTAGATAAGCTGAAAGTTCTACAAGCAAAGTCATATCTCAGAGTAGCTGCAGACGAGAAGCATCTCTTGCATGAAGCCCTGGGTAGAGCTAAGGGTCACAGGCTGAAAAGAGGAAGGTCTTGGATGGCGCAAGATGAAGACACAATCAGACATGTGTGCAGGCTTGATAATTTTGAGCTAGGAGAGGAGTGGGTCAAGGTGTTCGAAAAAGTTTCAGACTTGTAGGGTTCTAATCACGTCATTTCATGAGTTCGGAGAGTGGCCAGCTGGTGCTGCAGGATCAGAAGTTCAACAAATGATTCAGAACAATTTCCGCCCAGGTGATGTGATTATCTATACAGATGGCTCTGTGTTGAGGGGCAGACGAAGTGCACAGGGTTTCATAGCGAAGGTGAATGGACGTCGCCTAGTGCGTAAAAGCCTTGCATATGATATCACAACGTCTAGTTTGAGAATGGAGGTGCAGGCAGTCACTGCTGCCTTCCACTGGCTTGAGAATCAGCTGTACACACATGCCGTGATTGTAACTGACTCACAGATCATGTTGAGAAAAGTTAAGCCAGGCATGCTTCGTGCAGAGTGGCAAGCATAACTTCAGAGGTCTCAGGTAGTTAGAATCCTTTGGATATTTTCTCCAGGTAATGTCGGAGTGTTGGGGAATGATCAGGCAGATAAGACTGACTGACTCTGCACCACTTGGTAGTGAATTGATGTATGACAAGTTAGATATTGTGAGGGCCCTTTAAGAGCGAGTGAACAGTGCAGAGGCACAAACAGATCATTATGATCTAAGGAGAATGGCGCTGCGAGGAGTTACCAGGGAATCTGGCCGACGCTTAAAACTCAAGGGGAAGGATGAGACGGATATACAATCAGACAGTTACCGGTACCATCAGAATTAGAACTCTTTGCTTGCTGCTGAAGATGGGGGAATGAGCACTTATGGAAGTGTCCTGAGTGCTGTGATGTCGATTTTCAATTCAACATTCAGATAACAGATTTCTCAGTTGCCTTTTTTTGCACTAATCTATAGTCATATGATGATGATGATGTAAAATAAAATAAACAACAATTTTAATCTTTAAATGTTCTTCAATCACTTTGGAGCAAAAATACAAAAGATGATAAGTGTATGTTAAATAGCTGTGAAGCAATTACATTTTTAGTACACACTAAAATAGGTAGTATCTGGGAAAGTGCAATGGTTAACGGGTGTGGCAGTCAGTGGGTTAAAAGAACACATTTCCAATGCTTGTATCTTCTTTTCCAGTTCAGCTGTTAAGGTACACATTTCACAGCCATATGTAAACTTACTAACAGCAAGTGCTCTGTGCAGTCGAAGCTTCATTTTACAGGAAATGTTGTTAGGCCTCTCTAATGTTTGCTGTTTGGCAAGGACCAACGTCTGGATAATCCTAGACACAATTTTTTTTGGTTTGGATGCTAAGTCACTTAAAATGAATCCTAAATATTTGAAATAAATGACTTGTTCTAATTTATGACCTTTAAAGTCTTAAAGCCATTTAGCGTTTTTTCCCCCATGCCACAGTTGGTTGATAATTCATCAAATTTGACTAGCTCTTGTCCTTCCCCGGCCAACAGGTCGATGACAACCGCAAACCTCAAGTCTGTTATAATTCATCCTCCTACACTAACTGTTTCATGTTTTAAATTTGAATAGAATGGGTCAATGTACCAGCTGCATAAAACAAAAGGAGATCAGAAATGCATGTCATGTAAAGAATAACCAGTAAATAAAAGATGCATTGAACATTATTAAAAGAGTATATACATCAACAACAAAATGTGAATTTTATAGTTTAAATATAACATTACTTTTTTAATGTTGCAATAATAGTTTAATTTGTACGTATAACAAAAACAGTAATCTGTACATGATTTCTACATGAAAACAAATGTTTTACAGATGTTTCTACCAAACCCCTAGGGTTATCAAAATACACACCAAACTAATTAGCTTCAAAATAAAACATCATGTATCTCTGTGTCTTCCACTTCTTCGTAAATCAGTTCTTGACTCTATGACAGGCTGTCTAGACGAAGTGTTTTTGTCTCTCATGCTTGATTTTGATTTGGCCTTTTTGGCTACCTAAAGAATAAAATCAAAATTTGTCATTCTATATGTAAAGCAGGGCTATTAAACTGGTGGTGCACTGACACCCCCCCCCCCCCAGGCCTACCAAGTGGCTCATAAATCACATGCCAGTTGTACTGCATATTTCTATGCTGAGGCTCAGGCATTTGGCTCGCAAAGATCCACACTTTCTTGATTTAAACTGCGCACTGACAAAATAATTCCCTGGTTAAAAAAAAGACCAATAAGAAAAATAAAGACGGAAATTGATCAAAAACAGTATGGTTTTTTGGAGGGAAAAGGAATAAATAATGCAATATAGACAGATAGAGAGATCAACTGAAATCCAAAAGAACTTGCATTTACTCTTTTATAGATTACACAAAAGTATTTGATAAGGTAAAACACAAGGAACCTGTCAAAATGTTGACAGAATTGATGGGAAAGATCTCAGAAAAGTTAAGAATATTTATTGAAAGCAAAATGGCAGATATAAAAATAGGAAATAGCTTGGGCACATATGAATAGATTAAACACAGTGTAAGACAGGTTGTGTTGTGTCACCTGACCTCTTCTCTCTCTATAACGAGATGATACTGAGAGAGATCAAAGATACACAAGGAATTTGAGTAGGGGTTTATAATATAAACTACATACATTATGCAGATGACACAGTATTAATAGCTGAAAATGCAAATGATCTTCAACATTTACTGGACAGGAGAGTGAAAAGAAAGTGTCTGTCCTTGAATATAAAGAAAAGGGAGGTAATGGTTATATCAAAGAAAAGAGTAACACCTCACTGGGATGTTAGAATAGAAGACAAAAAGTTGATCCAAGTCAATAAATTCAAATATCTGGGTACAATCATAATATCAGCCGGAAGATGTGTGTCAGAAATTAAGAGCAGAATAGGCCAAGCTAAGGCTGCATTTCACAAAATGAAGACATCTGGTGCAACAGGTCCCTCTCTTTTGATGTCTGAAAGAGTGTAATAAAATGTTTTGTAGAATCTATACTGCTGTATGGTAGTGAATCATGGAATGTGAATGTACAAAAGAGAAAGAACTTGGAGGTGACAGAGATGTGGTTCCTCAGACGAATGCTAAGAATCCCTTGGAGTGCCAGAGTAACTAACGAGGACTGCTTGAAGAAGGCTAATGAAAAAATATACACAGCTATCAGGAAAAGACAAGCACTGTTGTTTGGTCATGTGATGAGGCGGAGGCTCAGGAGAATATTGTGCCCACTGGGAAGATAAACAGTAGAAGTGAGAGAAGCAGACCGACAGAGATGATGATGGCTGGATTGTGATATGGCGTGGAGGAACATCATCGGTAGAGTGTATCCAGAGGACAAGAGACTGATCTGTGGAAATGCATAAAGGCCTATGCCAGTCAGCACGGCACCTGATGATGATAACATTAATGGTGATTAAATATTTACTCTGTACACTTTTAGATTACAGATGTGGTTTTATAGATGAATGATGAGAATACACTAGACAGAAACAAGATTAATGAAGATGTCATGACAGAAATTAAAAACTAGCTCATAAAGACAACAGGTTGCCCACATCCGTAAGTGACAATCTAATTCTTTGGTCATGTCATCCAAGGGGAAAACTAGGGTAACACGTGACAGCAGGAAAGTTAGAGGGAAAGAAAGGGAGTCCGAGAGAGAAGATGCTGGACAGTTTGACATCATGGCATAAAAGATATCTGTGTCAGAGCTGATTGAAAGTCTTCGAGACAGAAGGTTGTGACATAACAACCAACATCACACGGCATGGACTTTTAGAAGAAGACAAACAGTGATTACACATTTTCCATTTAACGGCAGGGAATATGTATTCCATACAGTAATGATGACACATAAATTGTGTAACATAACCAACTACTCACTTTGTCAGTAGCTGGTTATAAAACAACATGCAATGTTTTAGAATTTTTTCACAAAATAATAAATATCAACAAAATTTTAAAATTACTTACAGGAGACTGAATATTCCACTGTGCTGGCTTAGAACTGCTGTAGAATGAAAGGAGTGTATGACACAAAAGAAGTTAATATTCGCACACAATTTTGCATTTCTAAGAGATGTACAGTATTACATTAAAAAAATTTTTTTTTAACCAACATGTGCTAGCAGTACCAAATGTAGACATTAACAACAAAGTGTTCATCAAAAGCCCTAAGTATTACATGAAGTGTTCATCAAGAGCCCTAAGTATTACATGAAGTGTTCATCAAAAGCCCTAAGTATTACATGAAGTGTTCATCAAGAGCCCTAAGTATTACATGAAGTGTTCATCAAGAGCCCTAAGTATTACATGAAGTGTTCGTCAAGAGCCCTAAGTATTACATGAAGTGTTCATCAAGAGCCCTAAGCATTACATGAAGTGTTGTTCATCAAGAGCCCTAAGTATTACATGAAGTGTTCATCAAGAGCCCTAAGTATTACATGAAGTGTTCATCAAGAGCCCTAAGTATTACATGAAGTGTTCATCAAGAGCCCTAAGCATTACATGAAGTGTTCATCAAGAGCCCTAAGTATTACATGAAGTGTTCATCAAGAGCCCTAAGCATTACATGAAGTGTTCATCAAGAGCCCTAAGTATTACATGAAGTGTTCATCAAGAGCCCTAAGTATTACATGAAGTGTTCATCAAGAGCCCTAAGTATTACATGAAGTGTTCGTCAAGAGCCCTAAGTATTACATGAAGTGTTCATCAAGAGCCCTAAGTATTACATGAAGTGTTCGTCAAGAGCCCTAAGTATTACATGAAGTGTTCATCAAGAGCCCTAAGTATTACATGAAGTGTTCATCAAGAGCCCTAAGCATTACATGAAGTGTTCGTCAAGAGCCCTAAGTATTACATGAAGTGTTCATCAAGAGCCCTGAATGGCTTGCTCCTTGGCATAAGTAGGAACAGAGCAGATACGTGATCCATGATTGGTGATTATACAAAATGGAGCAGCCTAGCTGGCAGGGTCAGGACATAAGCGTTCCCTTCCATCCAATAAATCTTCCATAAATGCACAGCTGATACACAGATATAGAGCATTCTGTTAATGATCTCATTGAAGAAATCGCTACATTCTGCTCACTTCTAAATACTGAACCACACACTTATCGCAGGATGAAACGTTGCAGGTCAGCATGAAACTCTCTGCAAACCTGGGATCTTCATACAAAACATAAAATGAGTTCTTCACTTCTTTACTGACTCATTGACTGGACTTTATTGACTCACACTGAACTCCCAGTAATTTCAGACTTTGACCCTCACAGTTTTCAAAGATGCCTTGGTACATTCAATGTGGTAGTGGTATATAAACAGATATATTTTTTTGTTAAACATTAGAAAGCATGATTAAAGAGTACTCCCTCTCATGATTTAGAATCTCAGATGAGTAAAGCCTTTGTAGCAGGCATTCAGTGAAATCTCTGCTCAATGGATTATAAGAAAATGTAGAACTGCTGATAATTTCTACAAGACAAGATATAGAAAATACAGCAGACAGCCATCAATGTGTATAGATACTAACACAACTGAATTAACACAAAATACAGCTGACAGCCATCAATGTGTATAGATACTAACACAACTGAATTAACACAAAATAGTGCTGACAGCCATCAATGTGTATAGATACTAACACAACTGAATTAACACAAAATACAACAGACAGCCATCAATGTGGAAAGATACTAACACAACTGAATTAACACAAAATACAGCAAACAGCCATCAAAGTGTATAGATACTAACACAACTGAATTAACACAAAATACAGCAGACAGCCATCAACATGGATAGATATTAACACAACTGAATTAACACAAAATACAACAGACAGCCATCAATGTGGAAAGATACTAACACAACTGAATTAACACAAAATACAGCTGACAGCCATCAATGTGTATAGATACTAACACAACTGAATTAACACAAAATAGTGCTGACAGCCATCAATGTGTATAGATACTAACACAACTGAATTAACACAAAATAGTGCTGACAGCCATCAATGTGGAAAGATACTAACACAACTGAATTAACACAAAATAGTGCTGACAGCCATCAATGTGTATAGATACTAACACAACTGAATTAACACAAAATAGTGCTGACAGCCATCAATGTGTATAGATACTAACACAACTGAATTAACACAAAATAGTGCTGACAGCCATCAATGTGTATAGATACTAACACAACTGAATTAACACAAAATACAGCAGACAGCCATCAATGTGGATAGATACTAACACAACTGAATTAACACAAAATAGTGCTGACAGCCATCAATGTGTATAGATACTAACACAACTGAATTAACACAAAATACAACAGACAGCCATCAATGTGTATAGATACTAACACAACTGAATTAACACAAAATACAACAGACAGCCATCAATGTGTATAGATACTAACACAACTGAATTAACACAAAATACAACAGACAGCCATCAATGTGTATAGATACTAACACAACTGAATTAACACAAAATACAACAGACAGCCATCAATGTGTATAGATACTAACACAACTGAATTAACACAAAATACAACAGACAGCCATCAATGTGGATAGATACTAACACAACTGAATTAACACAAAATAGTGCTGACAGCCATCAATGTGGAAAGATACTAACACAGCTGAATTAACACAAAATACAGCAAACAGACATTCATATTGTATAGATACTAACACAACTGAATTAACACAAAATACAGCAGACAGCCATCAATGTGTATAGATACTAACACAACTGAATTAACACAAAATACAGCAGACAGCCATCAATGTGTATAGATACTAACACAACTGAATTAACACAAAATACAGCAGACAGCCATCAATGTGTATAGATACTAACACAACTGAATTAACACAAAATACAGCAGACAGCCATCAATGTGTATAGATACTAACACAACTGAATTAACACAAAATACAGCAGACAGCCATCAACGTGGATAGATACTAACACAACTGAATTAACACAAAATACAACAGACAGCCATCAATGTGTATAGATACTAACACAACTGAATTAACACAAAATACAACTGAGAAGCTCAGTTAACCAACAGATATCTGTGCCTGTGCCTACAAAACTGAAAGCTTGTCCTCTCACCTGTCTTCTGGATGTGGCATGTGTATGACTGTGTTGCTTCCTTTCCTCCGTACTTGCACAGTGGGTGACAGACACAGCTGGCCTGAAACAACCACATGCATTATATGAGATAAAAAGCAACAGAATGTACAAGCAGTAACACAAATCTGTTACAGATTGTTTCCAATAATATTCTGATATGACTGTCCTAGGATGTACTACTGCTGCTGCTGGACACCCTCTCAGTAAGGCTCTTGCCTATGGCACAGACTACATAACCACACACTATTAGCTCCCCTTTTTTTTTTACATTTCTAACTGAGGCTTACAATCAGAGCAAGAAATATTGAATACGTTTTTTTTATTGTGATTATTATACTTATTGTAAGTATGATTTAGCATGCTCTGATTAAACTTGGACTGTTTTGTGTGCCATTGACAGATGTACATGACTGACAATCAACACAGAGAAGTCAAGACAGCAATAAACATATACACACATGACTGACAATCAACACAGAGAAGTCAGGACAACAATAAACATGTACGCCACATGACTGACAGTCAACACAGAGAAGTCAAGACAGCAATAAACATGTACGCCAAACGACTGACAGTCAACACAGAGAAGTCAAGACAGCAATAAACATGTACGCCCCATGACTGAGTCAATACAGAAAAGTCAAGACAACAATAAACATGTATGCCACATGACTGACAGTCAACACAGAGAAGTCAGGACAACAATAAACATGTATGCCACATGACTGACAGTCAACACAGAGAAGTCAGGACAGCAATAAACATGTACGCCAAACGACTGACAATCAACACAGAGAAGTCAGGACAACAATAAACATGTACGCCAAACGACTGACAGTCAACACAGAGAAGTCAAGAGAACACTAAACTCGCACGACCCATAATCAACACAGAGAAGTCAAGACTACAGGTATACCACATGACTGATAATCAACATAGTGAAGAAAACAGCATCTACACCACATACACGATTCAGAAAGAAAAACCCACACACACACACACACAAACTCTGATCTGTTCACAACCACTTACCACTACTCATAACACTGGCCACAGATGGTATTGGTGATGGGGGTAGCATGGTAATGTTGGCATCCCCTCCAAAAGTAATGTTGTACAATGCATCTATAATACAAACAGTAGACAAGTGGTCAGCAATTGTGGACTAGGGAAATAATTTACACTAAGATCAAGTATCTTGCAAAGAGGCATGGATGATCCTGCCTTCTGGACTCTCCCATCAGTTGATATTTATTTACAAATACGTGCACTGATAACATCAGATCATGCTTCAGACAAACAGAAATGGGTCTGTTACATGCGGGGTAGCTTGAATGGCTTGACAAGGCTCAGTTTATGTGCACATCTTGCTGTGCCCTCTTCAGAATCTTTGCTTGTTTATCTCACCAGTTGTTTACACAAAGTTAGCTTTTAATTTGCAGAATAATTTACACAAATAAAAAATCTGTTCTTCAAGTTTTTATAAGTATCCTTTGTGGCTTGATCTCTTTGAATACATTTAGATCCCTCATTATGGCAGCCTTTATAACTCTTAACGTTCTTCCCTCCAATCACACTAAAAACCTTTTTGTTTTACAAATTAATTGTGATCTGATCCAAGCTATGTTAGTACTGATTTTGATAAAAATATTTTTTTTTAAAGTGCCCCCCCCCCCCCCCCCCCCACCACACACACACACTTAGTTGTTTATGTATGTTTGTGGACTTCACCAGTTTGTCTTGTTAGCTCATGCAAGCCCCTGTTTAACAATTTCTGGGCATTTGTGTAGAGTATCTATACTGGGGGGAGGGGGTCCTTCTAGTTGTGTGTCTGTGAGAGAGAGAGAGAGGGGGGGGGGGAGAGAGAGGGGGAGAGAGAGAGAGAGGGGGGGGGAGAGAGAGAGGAGAGAGAGAGAGAGAGAGAAACATATACAAACAATGAGCTGTCAGAATGACCAATGCATTATCGCCCTTAAAGCATACAACTGCAGCACTGGTAAAAAAGTGGCTTTATTATATAGGCTACTAGCTGTAGGGATGCGTTGCAACATTTTTACATTAAGTGGTCAGTACAATATCAAACAGAGGGGCAGATACCCCCATTAGGCTTTTGCTCTTATATAGTTTATTCTATCCATATCATGGAACCCATTTCCCAGGCAAGTCCCTACACCACAGTTTCAAGTGTAGATATATCAGATTTGCTTCTCTACAAACAGATGTGCACTCTCTACAACACCAGAACAGCTCCAAAGACTAACACAGACAACACAAGAAACAGCACACTCACTTGTAGAAACACAGACAACACAAGAAACAGCACACTCACTTGTAGGAGTACTAATGGCCCTGATCCCTTGACCTTGTCTGACCGGGGACAGGGAAGTATTTGCTGCCATCCCTAGCTCTGCTCGCTGCTGTGGAAAGACAACAGTCAACGTTGTTTCTATTTCTCTCTCTTTCTCACTTACACGTGAGTCAATTATAAAAGAAATAAAAAATACAATCTATGATCACTAGAAAAATCTGGTCCGTCCATATAGCTTCCCATAAGTAAATGATGCTATCCTCATGATATCTCTGTTGGGCTTTTTAAGAAATATATGCACAAGAAAATTATACATGGGAAAACTGGTTATAATAACCCAGTTGTATCTACAAATTATTTACATGGTCATCTTCTGTTTGCTTCTTTGAATACATTTACAGGAGACCAGCTGGTCACTGCAGCAGTGTTGATATCAAGAAGTATCTTCTCTGTATTTACGTATCTCTACTGTACTGACATCTTTGGTTGTTGTGCAAGATTGTCATCCATATAGTGCAGTAAAGACCAGATCTAACCTATTTATACCACACACGATTCACAGTGTGGCTTTCAAGCCAGTCTCCCTTCATTTTTTTTTTTTGAGATATGAAAGGCAAAAAAGATACTAAGGCAAAAATTGACACCCAGTTACTGCTACAGAATCTTGCTCCAGTGATCAATCCTTGGATAATCACTTCACTTAGTTTCGGTACCTATAATCCTGTAAGGATCAATATTCAGCATACACTTTTTATTTTACTTGATTATATAACTCCATTTTTTTTCCAGGTGCCTATTTCTTATGTTCCGTAAAATAGCCTTTCATTTCCATATTTTCCCATATTACATATCTGGTTCTAAGTTGACAATGACAGTTTGGTTGTCTTGTCCACTGATGAAGACTGCTAGAAATGTTCCGTTATATTTGTGCACGTCTGTTCGCTTTCCTCTGTTGAGCTTTCTGGCCACAGTTTGTGCTGTATCTGGTAATTCCCATTTGTTTCTTTCTTAATTTATGTACTGTTCATAAAGAGTTTGGCAGAAACATTTAGTGGTGTTTGTGCACATTTCCCCAACTTCCATCACTGAGCCATAGACTGTTGTGGTAATACATAATACTAAATCATTGACTGTCAAGTACACATAAGCAGATTATGTACACTAAGCAATACATCCTATATGGGAAACAAATCCTAAATAACCTTGAAATTTCCTCAGTTACAAGCAGTCATACCTGCACACATGCACACAAAGATATTTGTCATGCTAAACCAGGCAAGCAACTGAACATCTGACATACAAGCAGTTGCAGCAATTCCAGCAACACAGCTTTCCTGTAATAAGCATTACTTGTCCATGTAGCCGGCTCGTAGTGCATTGCTAAGACAGCTGTCAATGATTTTATCCAATAAATTCTTCACCTAAGTCATGATGAGTCATCTAAATAGGGCTTGGCTAATTTCTGGGGTAAGGCTTTTATTAAAAGCTTCCTGAAAATGGTGCTAGGGTTTATTTTTGGGGTAGGTATTATTTTTTTAGAAACACAGGACTGTATAAAAACTATGCCTGGCTACAATTTCAGAATAAATAGTTTTCCGTGTGAACTGATTGCTGGAATTATGAACACAAGACAAACATGTACCTTTGATGTTGCAGACTTCAATATCTCATCACCTTTCTTATTATGAGCTACTGGCTGTCTGTTTTGGTCTGTCTTGTTGTCCTAATTTTGAAACAAATTAGTGAATACACTGACAATGCATTCTGATGACAAGGTAATCTAAAATAAAGACCCCCTTTATAACATTGTCGGCCCTGTGGCTATGTCGATGCGAACGCTTCGTAATGCCGGGTTCGATCCCAGCTGCGGGCCATATGCCTTGCGTTGGTTTCAACAGTGGTAAATTTGCATAGAAAAACCGCACAACAGCCAGGGGCTGTTTCGGTTGGTTCTGCAACATCCTGTAAAGGATACGCAACTAACTAAACTTTATAACATTGGTGCATGAGGCATATGGTGCGACCTACATTTTGTAGACCAAGTGGCAACTGATGGATGATATGGTCAACACGACATCAGCCACCATGATTTACCAGGACAGTTTCAGGTTTGGTCTGGCTGAGCTCAGCTGACCTGGCAGCCCATGCTAAATATAAATGTAGATTGGAATATAAGACCTTTGAGTCAGCAAGCAAGAATGCAGGCACATTTTAAAGATATAATCAATGAATCGCTGAGCGATGATGTCACATACCTTAAAACGTGGAGAACGAAAGAATAATTATTTTTATAGGAAATTAACTTTTTATGGTGATAAAAGAAATCTGGTTTTAAAGTGAGACAAATGTTACGTAAGACAAATGTTACGTGTACTTTTTCTGGTTTGTGTGTTACAACCAAATGTAAGACACTTTGTGTAAACCAACTTCTTTCTGCCCATGCTCTAACAGATTTATTTCTTCATTTAAAAAAAAAAAAGCAATAACTTATCAGACTGAGCTCATTACACAAGGTGAAGTGAAGTACATTTCTAGACTGTTGAACAAAAAAAACAAAGAGTCAGTATGTTTGCTTGCCAAGAAAGTGGTCCTAGTTGAATCCTCAGAAGTGACAGGATTTTTCTCCTGACAGGTGTGAAGGGGCCCAAACTCAGCAAATAAGTACCAGCTGTGGGAATTGTTTGCAAGGGAAAGATGATGAGAAAAGCAGGGCTACTTAAGTGGCTGCCCGCAAGTCAAATCTGGCCCACAAAAGCCTAGCAGGTGTCCGACGTATCACTGCCAATTGTATTGCATTATTGTATCATTCTACACTGGGTAGCTCAGGCCCCTACCATGTGACGATCCTCATTTTAAACATTTTGGCCCCTGAATAAACTCAGTTAAATATCCCTGCTGTAAAGCATTACAGGAGTTAGATGTGGTTTTCTCTCCTTTGCTAGTCATGTAACTTGTGCTAATGTTACATTGTTATTGTAGTCTCTTTTACTCCCTCCACCCATCTCTTTCTTGGTTAGCCTCTTGACCTGAAGCTTGCTGTTCTTATGTAGTTTGCTCCAACTGGCTGATTTTGTTCCATTCCAACCAGACCATTTGATTCTTTGTTATTCTATGACATCACCTACCACTGTTCTAATTTATCATCATCAATTTCCACTTCTGCATCATGGGGAGGAGCAGTCTGCAATCCACTGCTTGGTGGGCAGCAATGGCTATTGTCATTCAGTGTGGATGTAGAAGCTCTCCAATGTCATCAATCCATCTTCTCTCCAAGGACGACTTATGGCTTCCACTTCCGATCTGTTCATGTGCAGCGCCTGCGCTGGAAGTTGTTCTGGCTGCATTCTCACTAGATGACCAAACCATTTGATTTTCTGTTTCTCAGTGAATTTGCTGCCTGGTGTTGTTGCTACAGGCTGATAATATCATTTCTAACTTTGTCTTGGACGGGTAAGTTGGCAGCTTGTCTTAGGCATCTTATTTCTTATTTGTCACTGTCCACAAGGTTTAACACTTCAGAGACAAAAACAGATAATCTATTTAAAGCAATCGAGAGAAGAAGATGAATAAGAATAAGAAAAAACGCAATAAAAGGATACCCATCTTCCTATTTTACCACCTGTACTCCACAGGAGGCATAAGCACTCAGCCAAAAAACTCTAACTCTTTCTATTCTATGTCACAACGTGCAACTCAGCAATAATTTATGATACAGCTACAACAAAATGAAGACTCTGTGGCATCAAATGCTTGATGCCTCAGTGCTGTAAACCAGTATTTTCAACGGACCGTTTATGCATGGGTTTAGTAACATGCC